AAAAAAAAGTATAAAGTATATAAATATATAATTATTTTCTGGGGTATGTAAATAGATAATGGGTATATAAATAGGTATATAAATGGACCTGGATAGTGAGTCAGACATAGTATGTTAGATTGTGCTCTGTAAATACAGCCCAGAGTACGGTTGTGTATCTTCAACTCCTAATGGCAATGTGGGAAAAGACTTGTCTCATAGCACACAAATTGCATTTTCCTGGTGTTATTTTCCATTTGTTGGTGAAAAAGTAACACATCACTGTTATTTTAATAAGCAATTATTTTATTATGGTAACACTAGCCTTTATTCACATGATTATAAGTGATGTTTTCTTACACAAATTTTCTTTGCTACTATTTTTATTGGGAGCAGTGGTGTTTTTCCAATGGCTTTTAAGACTTAGAAGTATGCTTTGCATATTAAGGGTATCAACTTTTTGCCTTATTTGTGGTTGTTTTTCCAGTACATCACTTAAGTGTTATGATAGTTTTTATATCATTTAACATGCTTTATGGAGTCTAATTTATCAGTTATTTGCTTTATGAATCTTTCATGGCCTTTACACTTGGAAAATCTCTTTCCATTTACTTAGACATTCATCTATAATTTCTGATATTCCAAAAGCTTCATTAAAACATTAATATTGGGGTGGCTGGGTGGCTTAGTCGGTTGAGCATCCAACTTCAGCCCAGGTCATGGGCTCGTGGTTCATGGATTTGAGCCCTGTGTCAGGCTCTGTGCTGACAACTCTGGAGCCTGAAGCCTGCTTCAGATTCTGTGTGTCCTTCTTTTTCAGCCCCTCCCCTGCTCATTCTCTCTCTCTCTCAAAAATAAATAAACATTAAAAAATATTTTAAAAAATTAATATTAATTCACAGGATTTCCTTGGGATCAAGATATGCTTTGTTTTAAATTTATAATAGCTAATTTTAATGTTATTTTTTTGAATAACCCATACCAGCTTTATTGGATTATTAATGTAGGAGAATGCACTGATTTTATATATTGACCTTTTATACAACAATTTAGCTAAATTGTGTTGTTTGCTCTGGTAGTTTACGTGAAGAGTTTCTTGGAGTTTCTGAATGTTAAAAAATATCATCAGGAAATAATTGTTTTGTTTCTTCCTCTCCAACCTGTATGCCACTTATCTTTTCTTCTTTCCTTACCCCTCTGGCTAGGGCATCTGGTACAATGTTGAATGGAAGTATTGATTGTGAGTACCCTTATCGTGTTCCTGTCTTTGAAGCAATGCTGACTTCTCACCATTCAGGGTTACTGTTATAGGTTTTCAGTAGATTCTGTTTATCAGGTTAAGGAAGCTCACTTTTACTTTTATTTGCTAGGAGTTCTTTAAAGTCACGAATTATTTTTGAATAATAAAAAATAATTTCCCTCATCCATTGATATGTTCATTTCTTTCCTATTCTATTTTGTGAAAGTGTTTAAACTAATTAGGTTTTCAGATGTGAACCCATCTGCAATTGAACACCATGTATTATTTATTTTATACACTGCTGGATTCAATTTGATAATATTTTATCTAGGTACTTTTTGATTTATATTTTTAAATAAGACTGGCCAATTCTCCTTTCTTGCAGTAGTACCTCCTTATACCTTGGAATCAAGGTTATATAAGCAATACAAAGTGAATTGGGGAGCATTCCTTATTTTTCCATCTTTTGGAAGAGAATATTTGATAGAGTTAGTCTGCAAAACCAAATGGGCCCAAGTAAACACTCGGTGTATGAGTGTGTGTGAGTGTGTGTGTGCATACATATTTCACAATAATAACAAATTTATTCTGGCAGGTTGTCTGCAGAAGTAGACATGAGCAATGGGACAATGTATACACATGAAGTCCTCCAGTCAAGAATTAGTCTATTCACCGTTTTTTGAGCGTGGGCTGGTGTGCCTTGCTTTGGCCAATAGAAGCAGCTTTGGTTGTGCTGTGCTACCTGTAGGCCTTTGAAGACCAGACAGCTTGGGTTCCGGTTCTCTTGACATTATCAGCCGCTGTGTAAAGAAACTCACACTAGATTACCAACAGAATTCAGGGGGAGAGATATTGATGGTGGGGGAGGGAGAGAGATGAGTGTGTGGGAGAGAGAGAGAGAAGAGAGGAAGGGAGGTGGGTGGGGGACAGGGAGGAAGGCCTAGCCAGTCTCAGTCCAATCCTGCCACCCCAGATGAAGCACCAGACACATGGTGAAAGCCATCTTGGAACATCCAGCCCCAGCTGAGGTGCTGTAGTCCACACAATATGAGGTGGAAATAAACTGCCTATTCAGAGACATACCAAAATTTCAGAATCATGAGAAGCAATGAATGCTTTTTTTTTCTTTAATTTTTTTTTTTAACGTTGATTTATTTTTGAGACAGAGAGAGACAGAGCATGAACGGGGCAGGGGCAGAGAGAGAGGGAGACACAGAATGGGAAGCAGGCTCCAGGCTCTGAGCCATCAGCCCAGAGCCCGATGCGCGGCTCGAACTCGCGGACCGCGAGATCGTGCCCTGAGCTGAAGTCGGACGCTTAACCGACTGAGCCACCCAGGC